AATGCATGTTGTATTTAATGCTCTGTACATTGCTTCATAATTTCTTTCCGCGTTAACTATCGGATATGTAACACTACGACATGTTGAAGCAAATATAAATGTTATTGTGAATATTTCTGTTTAAAACAATATAATATTCATTACAGGTAAATACACGAAACAAAAGCAGATTTGTATCTTGGGAAGTTTGTATAAAATATCCTCTGACGTCGATAAGTATAATCGCTGCATTTTTCTTCAGAAAGTAGCTTTGTAAAGATCATGCACACAATTTTCTTCAAACAAGCTAAACAAAATATGTACCGGCTATGGGCTACAGAAATTAGATAATCAAATAACCATTTTTCGTTACCAACCTATCTGTTGGCATGATCTTTATCGAGGGGCGTATGTCCGTCCAATATTTTAAATAAATAAGGCTCGAGGTACATCTAAGCACTTTTGATAGGTTTTGAATGCAAAAGCATGCATGTCGTTGTTCCGCTTGCTTAGTTCGTCTGCGGCGTACAAGCGTGGACGGGCGAGCGCACGCTCTCTTCGTCGCGCTGACCTCCCGCAGTGCCATGGGGTGGTCGTCCTTAAATTGACGCGCAGCGGCCAATGGGAGTCTCGCACCTTTAAACTATGAGGCGCGCCAGCCAATGGGACCTATTCATCCGATTTCGGCTTCACTGCGCTCCATTGGGAGCGGGGAAAATATAACGCCGTTTGGCTAGGTTCTTCGCACGGCTTTAAAGCTTGGAGCCATCACATCGCGGCTTCACTTGGAGAAAGGAGTTTAGGTGCCGTTTGGCGCGGCTTCAAAGCTGATGACGTCGGCTCGCTCTATAGACCAGTGTCCGCGCCGATTCCAGGGCGCCGCCATGTTTATCTACGCTCGCGCCACCACGCGGAGAGAACTGGCAGGCAGGAGGGGGGGGCTGCGTTGGCGGCGTTGCTTTGGGGAGCTGGATGCTGCAGGCTGTCCGAATGCACCGGCACATCGTGAACGATGTCTTCACCAGAAGCCTCCGCGACCCGTTCTTCAACAGATAAGATGTCGTGAACATTCGAGAACCCATCTCGATCAAGAAAACAAGGGAAAACCTTTCTGTTCTTAAATGTTCTCGGTGTCTGCTGACCCTTGACATCCGCGTTTCAGTCCGGGTTCATTGCGTAGTAAATATTTCGCTACCGCTTTCTTGTAGCTTTCAAATGCTTGATTGTTGGCTTCTTGTATACGACATTACATTCGTGGCACGTTTGAGACCGATTTTCGCGATCTGCTTGCCTTTCTGCGGCAGCGCGGCTCTTCCGAGCCGAAATAAGTGGGAGGCGTTCACTTGAACGAACGCCGTTTTAGCGAATGAAAACGAGACCACGACGTTTCATCAAATGACTAGCGAATGGGTCTAGTTACATAGACAGCTCGGATTAGCTTCCTTTTGTAATGTGGCGCCTTGTCTGCCGCTGCGAAGCGGCGTAAACGAGGTCTCCGAGTATGTTAACACGCGTCCCCCCCCCCCCCCCCCCCACACACACACTGCGAGCGTCTGGGTTCGAAACTATTAATTGCCAGTTATAAAGGATGGTACTTACTTGAAGTGGGAGCTGGAATTCTACGAGGTACCAGGAAACACTTACTATCGGGCAACGAAGCACGGTGCCTGTGGGGGCGGAGTCTAGGAACGCTACTGATTAATATTGTGACAGGCGATCAGTTATCACGAAACTTCGACTCGTTAATTCAGAAGTTGGCGGTGATATTTTATTAGCCCTCGTTACAGCACACCAAGGATCTTAGGCAGTGAAATTCACATCACGCAGGCTCGTCCGTCGTAGTCAAATGAGCGCAGTCGACGATGAGGTGTAATGAGCTACTAAGCTTCACAAGGAAAATGCGCGTGAGAAAGAGTTTTGAGGAAGTCCAAAACACCGATCCAGCAGACGCACGTACGTACGTTTACTCCGGACTTCATGAACCCGATGGCGCAAGATCAAAGAGCACCGCCGCCATCGCCACCCGGTTTTCTCCGAACTTTGCGCGACGACGGCACTGCAACGGAGGGCACTCGCCTCGGCGTTAACAATCCGCGCAATAGATTAATTTCCCACTCTTGAAGCCATTCCCAATGATAAATGAAAATACCTCGGCGTTGTTGAACATCTGACGACACAACCAACACAACTGTGCCGCTGGCTGCGTGAGCCTGACGCAACTGTGCCGAGCGCCTGCTCGGCACCGTTGTTGCTCGTGAAGGCCTGCTTATTTGTAGTTGAGACGATGATTCCACATCTTTCGTGGTGCTTGCAATAACTTCGAAGGGCAGGGGAACCTTCTCACAAGGATGTTGAAGACACTCAACACCGGAGCCACCAAAGCAATCGCACAAACCGTCGCCATGTTTGCTTCTTCTTCGTCACTCGCGGCGCGGTCAACTCGTCGCGAGATGTTTTCTGGCTCGGCTAGATGGAAACCAACAGCGGAAAAGTGGCGTGTGGACACACGGCTCTCACATTACGGGCACTATATTCACATACCGCGGTAAACAGGACCGATGCCGGCGAAATGGCAGTCGGCACACCAGCGAAGAAGCCTTCAACGGGAAGCGGCGGCGCAGGCCGACGCAGCCCCCCCTCCCCGTGAGCGTCTGGGTTCGAGATTATTGTTCGCTTTTGCTCCTTGCGGTCGAGGCTAAAAAGAGCACTTCCGGACAAAGGTCTATAGGACAGTTAATGGGTCATTCTATGTCAAACGGCCCAGGCGTCGAGCTCGACCACCTTCGATTTCTAATAACAGATTTATGGCCTTTTGCCGCATTTTCCGTTGCCATGCCCTAAAATATTTTTGACGAAAAAAAACTTTTTTGATGGCATGAGCGCGGTTTTAACTTTTAAAACTAGCGTGAAACTGGGTATCTAATTGTTCCGGGAACTTAATAGAACTTTTCGCAGTAAAAGCAAATCCTGAAGTTGCCAAAAAGTGTGTTTTGGCGCATAAACAGTTGTTTATTTCACCCTGAGGTGGTCCTAGTAAAAATAAAAAATATGGTGAATTTGGAAAAACAATCGATTTTATTTTGATTCTGAAAGTGTAATCAAAGTAATTTTTGTTTAAAGCGAGAAAACAATTTTTGAAGTTGTACTCTCGCACCACAACCCTGCGTTGCTTCTTAACGCCTCTTCGCCGCACAACACGCCACCGGCGACGATAGCTGGCACGATTAGGTCCAAGGAAAGAACGGAATTTAGTGCCGCTTCCCCTTGTCCGTCTTTTCAGCTGCAAGGGAAGAAACGGCGGGCATCGTGTGATAATCGGAGGTGCCGCAGGCCTGTTGTGCCCTTTGTATCCGAGGGCGGTTCCTCACACTCAGAAACTTTTGTGAGGAGCCGCCCTCGGATACAATGGGCACAACGGGCCTCTTATGGCTACGCACTGGCGGCACCTCCGATTATCAACACGATGCCCGCCATTTCTTCCCTTGCAGCCGGAAAGACGGACAAGGGGAAGCGGCACTAAACTCCGTTCTTTCTTTGGACCTAATGGTGTCAGCTATCGTCACCGGTGGCGTGCTGTGCGAAGTGACGCCGGGTTGTGGTGCGTAAGTTCAACTTCAAAAATTGTTTTCTCGCTTTAAATAAAAATTAATTTTATTAAACTTTCAGAATCAAAATAAAATTGATTGTTCTCCCAAATTCATGATATTTTGTATTTTTACCAGGACCACCTCAGGGTGAAATAAACGGCTGCTTATGCGACAAAGCGCACGTTTTTGGCAACTTCAGGATTTCTTTTTTACTGTGAGATATTTAATTGAGCGATTTAAACATTTTTATATATTATACACCTGCCGGGGCAGCCGGTAAAAAGTTATATTAAGTCACCGGAGGATTTAGATATTTCTTAATGAAATACCAAAAATGTTAAAATTTTCAAACAAATTGTGTTTTTAAAAAAAATATTTAAATTAAACAAAAATTCCCAAGCCCAACCACATTGCAAGTCGAAAGCCGTGCAAATTTAAGAAAACACATTGTAGGGTGTTTCATAAAAAAGCTAATTTTTCATACATTATGGAGTGATACTTAGTTTCAAGCTAGTTTTAAAAGTTAAAACCGCGCTCACGCCATCAAACTTTTTTTCGTCAAATATATTTTACGACATGGCTACGGACAATGCGACAAAAAGCCATGATTTTTTTTTTTTTTTTTTTTTTAGAAATAGGAGGTGGTCGAGCGCAACGCCTGGGACGTTTGACATGGAATGAGCCTAATGCTTTCGCATTGAAACATAATTCGCGTATCTTGGGTCGCATCAAGAGGGACTGTTTGTTGCTTTTTGTGCGCAAGTGCCACCTCTTCAAAGCAGCGTTTCTTTGCAAGCTTGGGGAAAAAAATATTGTTCCCCTTTCTGTGACGTGCCTGTGGAGGCTGAAAGAGATTGATTTCTGTTGCCTTTTCGCCTTGGGTGATTGTCTGGTTTAAATTTCCTTGGTTTTGTCTTTTTATGCAGCGTTTTTTTTTTTAATTCTGGGTGTGCGAATATATAAAAAAATAATTAGTAGCTAAACAGTGTGGCATGTGTCAGACTGCTGAATGTTATTGCAACACTACCTTTTTTTTTTTCATGAGCATAGTAGCAACACTTGTTACTGCCTCGTCAATCATATGACGTTCTAAGTCGTTGCCTGTAATGACTAACGTCTTTCAAAGAGAGGCGATGACACCAATCGATAAGGTTGCTAAAAATTTTATAAACATAAAATTTAGAAAAAAACTCTCAAGAAAGGTGAACAGAACAGCCCACAAAAATACGAGGACAGAGAAAAGGAACATGCACAACACACAAGCGCTAGTGTGTTGTGTATGCTCCTTTTCTCTGTCCCCGTCTTTTTGTGCACTGTTTTGTTCACCATGTCATCATACCAACTCGCACAACTTACTACACTTCTGCTCTCAGGAAAGATCACGAGGAAAATATATTTGTTCCCTTTCTAATTTTTTTTTTAAATTCAACTTACCGCTTTGAAGTGATGGTAGAATAAGCATCACGATGAAAACTGCGTGCTGCATTTTGCTAAATGGAAACGTCCTCCTGAAAGGGTAACAATCACATAAATGTAGCCTCGAAACTCACCAACGAAACTTCACAAAATATAAAAGGCTTTTTTTCTAAGCCGAAGAAAATCGTTTAAAAAAATTTAAGCTACTTTATGCATTATTATTATAATGCAATTAAATGCAAAGGTGCAAGCGAGCTGGACAAGAATGACGACATTAATCCCTGGAGATTTATGTTTGTCCTTTGTCCCTCTTGATCCCCTTCTCCAGGGATTAATTTCGTCATACTTTATGCAGTTTGTGCAGGTGAGTTATACGGCCGGGGGGATAGAGCTAAGAGACTAATGGTAACCATTTCTCGGCTAATTATGTAAAATTTGGTAATAAACTTTTTAATTTGTGAAAATAGCATGTGGTTATAAGGAGAAACATGCAGAGCGTCATCGAAAACGACTAAATCAATAATTTTTGGAAGGACTTTGAGCGCGTGAAAAGGGCAGCAGTGCACTAAAGTTACCACTCGTGGAGCAGGTACAAGGCTGGGGCTATTATAAGAGACGGAAAAATCGTGCGGGCGCCTTACCGCGCATCGGTGGCCTTGTTCCTGCTGCACGAGTGCTAACTTTAGTGCACTGCTGCCCTTTTCACGCGCTCAAAGTCCTTCCAAAAATTATTGATTTAGTTGGTTTTGATGATGCTCAGCAAGCTTCTAATTGTAACAAAAAAATTCTGTTTGCAAAAACTTGGTCTGCTGGGCAAGTTGGTAGTTGACATTCATATTAAAAAGAGCCCAAAAAGGTGGCGCGGTGATGTAGCTGTTTCGCTAACTTTTGCACAAGCGATGGGCGGGCTATATCTACTGATTTGGCGGTATGCCGTGTTTTTGTGTAGACGAGATTACGCGCGTGGCACGGCGATAGCAAAGTTGGAAGCGTTCAATAAACTTTAGTTGCCAGTTAGCGCTTGTTCTGTGTGCTTCTTCGTCTTTTTGTCCCGTATTTGTTTGCGCTATTTTTATTATGAATTTCTATTTTTTACTACTCAAAAGGTATTTATTTAATATTTATTTATTTTAAAATCCCCTCAGAACTCCAGGAAACATTGCAGAGGGCAGTGGTTTGTTAGTGCAAAGCGAAACTTGATATTAACGGTGAGGATTACGATCCTCTCAGGAAGGCCATTCCAGTCCACAACAGTAGCGGGTAGGAGAGAATGTTGCAATGATGTGGAGGTAGTCTTGGACCGGGAATTATTGCATGAGTGGTCGAGTCTTGCTGAAATATAACTGGGAAAGCTAAGAAGGAACTCTTGTAAATGTGCAGAGTAATAAAATGCATGAAAAAGACAAAGCCGGAATATTTTACGACGCGAGAAAATATCGGGAAGGGTTAGTTGCAATTTCATTGCAGTAACACTTGAAAAATCGGATTAATCGGAAACACTAAAGCGAGCTACACGATTTTGAACCGCTTTGATTGCATAAGTTAGGCCAGATTAGTGCAAAAACAAATTTTGCTTAATTAGCCGACTGATCGTTACGATTAGCCCTTTGTACTGTGTCCCCCTAGCCGTATAACCCACCTGCACAAACCGCATAAGTATAGCATTCACAGATTTTTAAAGCAAATCTATTAATATTTACGAAACAAACACACACACGCACACACACACACACACACCCTGTAGAGGCAAAGTGTTAAGGCCGCTTAAGTGATATTTTGTATCACCGATGTATGCATATTTTGCGCAAAGTATTGCCTGATGTCTGCCCTTAATCAGGCATACCCACATAAAATCAGGCTTGGCCACATAAAAACAACAAGAGCATTGCAAATAATTTTAAAAAATCAGTACCCTTGCAAAATGAATAAAACTCATTTTGACTATTATACACCGGTAGCGCCAATGGGAAACCAAAGTCACCTGTTACAAAATTGCTTATGTTATAGAGTAAGTCAGGTTTAACGCAAGAAACAAGGCAAAAAAACACGAAAATTTCCTTGTAATTTTTGACGCAGGAGATTATCTAGAAACTCAACGCATATGCAATCATTGAAATATTTTTCCAGAAAGTAACCGAGGAAATAATGAGCTTGGCCAAGTGAAATAAACAGCAAACTAAATCGCCTGCAGCATAGTGTTTCCAGTGCTTCCACAAATTGCTCTCGTAATTATTTCTGTATTCAAGGGGTACACTGCAGCATAGGTCACTTTTTGTGTTTGCGCAAATATTTGCGGAAACCACCTAGAGGGATATGGTGTTTTCACACACAAACTTCGGGGTTACTCTTGAGGTATAATAATGTTTTCTTTGTTTTTTTTATCGAGAGAATGGTTAAGAAACGGCAGGAATAACATGGCACAATAGCCTAGATCTACTTACTCCAGTTCGTTAGTCAAACGAAGTGTGTTATAAATACAATTTCACAAACCAAAATATACTGCAGATCAAACTCTGCGCCACTAACAACCCTGCATTCAAACTAAAATTATACAAAGAAGGTGAAATTTTAAAACTCACGAAGCGCTTTCTTGCGTAAGGAACTTGAAATGGCGACTTATAGTCTGAATCGTGCAAGTTCAGTGGCTTATTTATATCCCAGATTGTAGGCGTGTTCTTAGCAACGGGCGATTGTTAAACATTTTCTCGCCAATGGTAGCCTAGGAAGCACGTGGGAATAGGAGACAACAACTGCGCCTGTAAATATGGCCCTTGAACTGAATGTGACGAGCATTGTTCTGCCTTGAGAAATAGAAAACAAAAACTGCAAGTAATTCGCGAATAAAATAAATTCTCTTACAGCTGTTTGTACTTGCGTGAACCTCTGTTACCGTGTTTGCTTCTTACAATACAACATTTTTCGCACAAATATGCTATACAATTTAGAGATGATATTCCACGTTATGTGCACCCTCTAGGGGTGCTGAATATGCTGGGGTTTGTTTTGCAAAATTGTTCGCCCCCACCAGAGGGGCCCAGGATGGTCGTCATAACAACACGTTTCACGCTGGACACTGAGCTACGAATTTCAAACAGTTGTGCGTTGCTGCTCCAGGACCCCAACCAGTGGATACAAAATATTGTGGAGAAACTATCCCAATATGCCAGAAACTGGGTACAGAAAACTCCTGTGGCGGTTTATTTCACCGGCTTGAAATAAAGTGTTGATCTATGTAGCGATGAAGCTGTACCAGAATGACTCTCGTCAATGCCTGCTGGCTATGCTTGAAAAAGGCGAATCCGCTCTTAGAAAAAGCGCGAATTGCCTTGAAGTAGATTCAAAGGGAACCGTGTCAGTGTAGGTGTCTGCAAAGTTGCTGTTGGTGAAATTCGTGTTAAAATGAATTAAAGTGAAATATTATCGAAGGATTACATCGCATAAGAGAATGTCTAGACGTATTAGTTTTCTTGAAATCACCTTACCTGGTTTGCTGTGACCTTAGACGCACAGAACTTGTGCTCCAACCCGGAAATCTCAAGCATGAAGTTCTATCGATACCGGGTCCTAATTGGCTTGTTAAAATATTTATATGATGCACTTTGTAATGTTAACGCTGCTCTGTCCTTGAACATTTTTTAATTAATTCTCCGTCTCTCCTATACTGACAAAACGGCGATGTCTTAACAGGCGCGATAGAATAATAATCGAAATTCATATCTCTTCCGCTTGATTTGCAAAGAAAAAACAATTCCATAAATTGCCGGTACATAAAGTTACTTATTGGCATAAAGATATCAAAACCAGAAAAATATCTATATATGGAGTTTGTAATGGTTCAACCGTCAGAAAATTCACGAAACCATGCAAAAATACATTCTGCATTTGTTTCTTGCTTTGCAACTACGATACAATATAAAAATGACAGATTTCGCGAATTTCTAACGATCCAATCATAACTGAGTTGCAAAAAACAGTTCAAAAAAATTTTTTTTTTTCTCGAAACGCCGGTAAAACATAAATTTTGTTAACCATTGTTTTCGATTTCTGCATTTATATGGCAAAATGCATCTTCATGTACCTGCTATATATTAACTGGTATTTTATTCCCAAAACAGGTGGAAGACGTACATATATTTTTCCTGATTACCATCCTGTTACCTCAATGACCATCAATGAGTTTTGTGGATGGAAAAGTGACGAGTAATAAGCTAACAAATTATCTAAACTGGCAATAGGTTAGACACTGCGAGGGTGTGCCATAAACGTATAGTAAAAAATTCAATGAAATCTATATAAAAAGTTTGGTTTCAAGGTGAGTACAATGTGCAGTTTTTTGGGGCCAGAGGTATGCTTAGCGCGTCATACCAGTCCTCGTTAAATGTACCCCTGCATTCTTTTTTGGGGGGGCTCCAGACTTTTTGTATCTTCAGGAATGTTACACGCTGGTCGTAAATAAGGACGTGGTTCAATTCCCTTATATGTTAAGAGCCTTTTTTGAATATAAGCAGACAGCAGTTAAGGGCAGCTATTTAGCTAGTGTTCGTTCCTACATAGGTGACGAATTTGTTTTTAGCCGGAGGGGAATAACTCTTGGCTGGTCAGTAAACCACCCCTTTTTTATGTAAACACATTTCTAGAGATCAAGCAGCGATAGTGGAAGCGTTGAGGAATTACGTCTGCGATGGCTCTGATAGAAAGAGAGTTCGCGGCATCCTTCATACTGAGCGCTGAAAAGGCGAAGTTAAACCCCGTAGCTGCAAAGAAGTTCGATATTCAGTAGAAGAGTGTGAAGATGCGGACATCATAAAGCCCCTTGATAAAATTCACGCATCACGTTTCCTGCAAGTGTCGACATCTATTGTTTTGTGAACGCACGAAACACGCGACAGGAGTGAGTGCCCCGCCCCCATCCGCTTCCAAGGGCCGTATGAGGCAGGGACCTCATGCATTAGCTCATTGATGACACCTGCAAGACGAACACAAACACATCGAGATACTTTGGGACTCACACAAAGCTTCGGAAATAAATGCCTGCACAAAATAAAGAAAGATTACTTGCTGTGCCGAAGCCTGAAA